GTGGGACAGGCAGTGGGGATGGGTGAACGATGACCATAGTCTGAGGGTGCCTGATCCCCCACAACAGGAAATTGCAGAGCCACTGTTTGACCTAAAAGTGGGCATGGAACAGTTGGTACAGAATACCACCTTCCACTGCATCCTGGCTACCCTGCTGGCTGTGGGCAACTTCCTCAATGGGTCCCAGGTGAGTGAAAGCACATAGAGGCTGGGGGTCAGGGCTTTGGAGCTATGCAGGCCCAAACTCAAGACAGGGTCCTTTCAGAGCAGCGGCTTTGAGTTGAACTACCTGGAGAAGGTATCAGAGGTGAAAGACACAGTGCGCCGGCAGTCACTGCTGTACCATCTCTGCTGTCTAGTACTCCAGACCCGGCCTGATTCCTCCGACCTCTACTCAGAGATCCCTGCCCTGACCCGCTGTGCCAAGGTTAGAATCAACCCAAGATTTGACTGAGACTGGGTATGGCACACTGTGCACTGCTTTCTGGGTCTGGCTCCTCTTCCTTCTTGTTTGGGCTGCTGTGCCAGTGTGCTTAGGCTACAGGTGTGAACTATATCCTCTACCAGAAGCATTCTTTCCTTGTCCTCGCCATACCTCCTGTCTTTGGGTCTGTTTACTGCCACTCCCTCCAAGAAGCCTTGTCTGTTCCCTGTAGATCTAATAGACTTGTCTGTCTCTTGCATTAGACCATGAGGTTTTGGAAAGCAGAGGCCAAACCTCAGCCAAGTCTCTAAGGCCAAGGCTGGCCATCCTGGCACAGAAGCAGCCTCTGGCAGTGTCTTACCTATGGAAGAGTAACACATGTACTCTATTGGTTTGGTTGTTTTGTTTTTAGACAGTCTCAGTGTGTAATCCAGCTAGCCTTGAACTCATTTTGTAGCCCTAGGTGGCCTTGAAATTGCAACACTCCTGCCTCAGGCTCCTAAGGGCTGGAATTACAGACAAGAACCACCATGCCCTGACCCTCACTTTTTCTAGGTGGACTTTGAGCAGTTGACTGAGAACCTGGGGCAGCTGGAGCGCCGGAGCCGGACAGCTGAGGAAAGCCTGCGGAGCTTGGCCAAGCATGAGCTGGCCCCAGCCCTGCGTGCCCGCCTCACCCACTTCCTGGCCCAGTGTGCTCGTCGTGTTGCCATGCTGAAGGTAGTGCACCGCCGTGTCTCCAACAGGTAGGAGTGTGGGACAGGGAGAGGTAGGCCTTCCGCCACTATCCTTCAGACATCAAGCAGGACTCCACATCCCTTCCCATTCCAACCTGCCTAGGTTCCATGCCTTCCTGCTCTACTTGGGCTACCCTGCACAGACAGCCCGCGAAGTGCGCATCATGCAATTCTGCCACATTCTGCGGGAGTTTGCACTTGAGTATCGGACTTGCCGGGAACGGGTACTGCAGCAGCAGAAGAAGCGGGCCACCTACCGTGAACGTAACAAGACCCGGGGACGCATGATCACTGAAGTGGGTGCCCTCCCAAATCACAACTGCTATTCCCATGGTTTCTTTCCTACTCTTAGCTCACCCTTGTCCCTTCTCCAGACAGAGAAGTTCTCAGGTGTGGCAGGGGAAGTACCTAACAACCCATCTGTCCCAGTGGCCGTGGGGAGTGGGCCAGGCTGGGGTGATGCCGACAGTCATGCCAGTATGAAGAGCCTGCTGACCAGCAGACCAGAGGATACTACACATGGCCGCCGCAGCAGAGGTGGGGCCATACCTGCTGGGTGGGAACAGTGGGTTCTAGGCCACCTTGGCCTGACTTCCTTACCTGGTCTCTCTCAGGCATGGCCCAGAGCAGCTCCCCAACTGTGCCCACAGCAGTGGGGTCCTCCACTGCACTTCCTGATGAACCTCCAGGCTCCAGTTTACCCAGCGACACATCAGATGAGATCATGGACCTATTAGTGCAGTCAGTAACTAAGAACAGTCCTCGAGCCATAGCTGCTCGGGAAAGGAAGCGGTCCCGTGGCAACCGCAAGTCTTGTAAGTACGCCTCCCAAGCCTACTACCCACCTTAAACCCACCAATCCCCTCAATCCTATTCTGTCTCTGCAGTGAGACGAACGTTGAAGAGTGGGCTTGGAGACGACCTGGTGCAGGCACTAGGACTAAGCAAGACTCCTGGCCTGGAGGTATGAGGGTGCTGCCTCCAGGAAGCCCATCTGCATCCAAGCTTGCAGTATAAGAGACTGTAGTGCAAAGAGAGCCCAGAACAGAATTCTGGGCCCAGAACCTTGTGCCCAAGGGCCCGTGCTTTTGGCAGTATTAGCGTGTGTGTGTGTGTGTGTGTGTGTGCGTGTATGCGTGTGTGCGTGTGCACGTGCCTGTATGTTTGTACATGTGTATACATGAGCTCCCTACTCAGAGAGCAAAATAAAGTTTTTTTAAGCTAATCCAAGAGCCCTTTCCCTCATTCTTTCCTTTCCCTGTGGAACCCCAGGGCCTTTGCACTGAGCTAAATCCCCAGCCCCCTTTTCCCTTTTGTTTTTTTGAGTAGTATCGGTATCGAACTCAGGACCTTGTGCTTACAGGGCAGGCACCGTGCCACTGAGCTAAATCCCCAGCCCCCTCTTTTGTACTTTAAAATCTGAAAGAGGTTCTTTTTAAGGCTAAAATGCCCAGGCTGAGATCCAACTTACAGTCCTCCTACTTCAGCCTCCGAGATACCATATTCAACTTTTTCCTCTTTCAATCACTCCCTCACCCCAGGCTGGGCTTGTATTCCATAGGACTAGTTCTTTCCTGCTTTGTTCCTGATTATCACTTATACAACCATTAGCCACATTCTAAGCCATTTATTCAGCGATCCTCTACGTTGGGCTGCTTTTGGCCCTGGACTAGGCACTCAATGCTCTAGCCACAGGGGACATGCAGTCTGATAGTCACCCAGCAACTTGTGGCCACAATGTTAATGGCTATAACCGCTTCATCTGCCGCCGCTCCTGTCGGCGCTGCCGTTTTTCATTGTGCTCTGGTGCTGAGGTGCTGCTGTCTGCCGTGAACCAGGGGCCCAGCACATTCACCCACAGGAGGTAAAGAGCCCGGCCTGGAGCCTAGGAGAAAGAAGATAACTTAAAAGTCGGGGGCAAAGAATGAAGGATGGGGGTTAGTGACCCTTTCTTAGGAATCCTCTAGCCCACGCACCAGAAGCCAGAAGGACCAGATGTAGAGGGAGAAGCAGCTGAGCACCTGCACAATGGCTGTCAGCAGGATCACATCCTTGAGATGCCTATGGATAGAAGGGAGGCTGTAAAGGCAGTAGATGGGCCCGTTCATTCCCTTCCACTCTCTTCAAGTTACAGATTGTGTGTCTTGGGCTCTCTGGATCCCAGCGCCCTAGCCCTGGGACCCGCTCACCTGGGCTGGCGGTGGGGGACACTCACTCTGCCATGCCCTGCTCCATGTTGAGGTCCATGCCACCATCCATCAAGGCCCCATCTTCAGAGAAGGCTGCACGAGCCATTGAGCTCATAGAGTGGTAGCTGGCCCCATATACTGCCAAACTAAAGGCCAGGGCAATCTGCAGAGCAATAATAACAAGTATTAAAAAGCAGTCACTGACCCTATTGTATACTCATTCACTTTCCAGAATGGGGACACTTACCCAGGCCCAAAATGAGGCAGATGAATAGAAGAAAACCAAGGTCACAAGGCAGTAAATGGCCTGCAAGGAAACAGGATCAGGTTAGGGAATGAAAGCTACTCCCAAACCATGAGCTTCCCTCAACTCTGACCAAGAATTATGCCAGGTTGTAGGAGGAGCCATGTTTTTGTAATAGGGTTCAGAAAAGAGTTCTGCCTTCTGGGTCAGAGCACCCAGAATCTCCTGATACCCAAGTCAGCCTAAAAATAAAGCCTTTGTGTATCTGGGGTGGGAAGGGCTGTTCAGTCTAGCTGGTACTCACTTCATTGCTTTTTTTCTGTTTTTGCTTTTACTAATCAGCACTTTCTATGTACACTGATCCTTTCTGGGTTTTTCAGTGGTGGTGATGGTCAGTTGGTTGTATTTTGGTGATGGACTAAATCCTCAAAAATGCTAGATAAACACTCTACCCCTGAACCACACCCCGTTTCTTTTTTGACTATCGTTCTCTTCTGGTGACTTAGCTGGCACCACCACTTCTCACCAAATAGATCTGAAGGTTGTGGGCCTGTGAGTGGCACAGAAGAAAGGCAGACACTTACATTGGCCCCCAGTATGATTCGCAGGTAGAACTTCAGGGTCTCTCTGTTCTCTTCAAATATCTGCTTCTTCCCTCTTGTGCCCACTTTGCCCTTGGGCTGCAGAGGGATGAGATGAAATGCTGTCGGGTTTCATCTCAAGCATGGACCTTCTCATTTCCCACACCAGCCTGGTTAGGTACTGAGTTCCATCTCCACCTCAGCCAAATAATCATATTGCTCAAACCCCTCCTCCAGCCCATCCGGTCTAGAGCTGACACCATCTTCGCAGCACCTCCAGCTATGATTGCTGCCTCCTGGCTCAGCAAACAATTCAACCCTAGGCTAATAATACCTTTTCGAGCTCCCCAGTAAGGTTCAGATTTGGGGTGATGACCACTCCAGGGGCACTCTTCTTGAATAGTGTTGAAGATTTTCTCCAGCCTCTCCTCTGGAAGTGATGCCCATCCCCCTCTAGCACTAGTTCTGGTACGGTCCTGCACAATCATCTCCCGCCCACGGCAGACCCTGCTTGCTTTAGTACAGTCTGTCCACTGGATGGCGCCCCCCTCTGGCCCACCCTACATCCCTTGCTGTCCTTCGCCTGGTTTTACAGTCTCAGCCCGGAGCACTTTTCTGATGGAGACCCCACCCTTCTTACCGCCATTGTACGACGCAAATAACCAGCCCGGGATACAAGGGAGAGTAACTGAAACCACAGTCAGTAGGAACCACATCGGCAAAGCATGCACTTCCGGTGCGGACCAAAGTCGTCAGTTCCTTGGACGGAAGTAAGGGCCACTTCCTTTCTAAGTCCCGCCTCTAGAGTCAGTGGGACTACACTTACCGGAAAGCCTTGCGCGGGGGCGGAGACTGCGGGGATGCGATGGCGGAGTCGCTGCCCCTGGAGGTGAGAGGAAACGCTCCCCAGGCCAGGCTCTGGACAGGCCCCGCCCTCGGGGTCTGGAGCTTTGGGGAGGGGCTATCAACTTGGCCTGCCATTCACTCCCGCCTGGTTGAAGTGACCCGCCCGGCGGATCCCGGGACCTGCAAGGTCTGGGTAACGACCCGCTTTTGGGCCACTCCGTCCCCTTAGCTTGGGGAAGCATCCTCTTCCCCGTCAGCCCTAGGAGATGGCTGCCCTGTCACTTCACAAGGGTAGACCTCCTGCCTACCCCCTTCGTTTGAGATGGCCATCCGCTGCACTTCAGATCTGGAAAATGTCAGTTCCATCCCATCGTCCCAGAAGGGTAACCGATCTTATCCCCACTGGCCCCTTGGGATGGTCACTACATTTCCTCTTCCTGACAGTGGGGAACAGACTGCTCTCTCCCCATCAACTCTGGGGATGGTCCCCGAGGTCCTTCAGCGAGGACAGACTTGCTGCCCAGAACCCTAGTCCTGTATGAGATATTTGTACCCTCTGCTTAGCTAGGAGCAAGAATACTCTACTCATGTGGGCCGGGTGACAACAGGTTTTGTTCCCTGTGGCTTCCTGGAATGGCTTCTCTGCTTTCCCTTTTGTCCTGAAGATTGTCAGCTCCCTCCTGCTGCCCATGATAGATATGACACTCTCCCATCAGTCCTGAAATGTTCCCTCTAAGCAAAAATGGGCCTGCTCCCACTTCAGTGAGTTACCTTCAATGGTATCCCTTTCCTCTTTGCCCCAGAGGATATCCATCCATCCCCGAGGATCCCATGGGTGACCAGTCATTTCTTTTAGCCCCTCAGGAAATGGGTCATGGGACAGTTGCTCCATCCTCATCCACTGTCTCCTCCAGTTCCTCTACAAAGACTACCCTCTTCTCAGCTTTATTAATCATGTCCCTGACCCCAATTATAACAGGTTTGTTCCCTTCTCCCTTTACTCCTGGATTAGCTACTCAACCCAGAAAACAGGATGGGAACTACCTTGGTTAGGAAGGCTTCCTGCCACCCCTTGAGAAGGACTTGGTCAGTCCTAGTCCCCATCAGTACTCTCCCCATGCTTCCCTCTGGCTGAGGCTGTACCATCAATCATTTTCTCCTTAGTAATAATTTATGTTCCCACTCCTTCTCTGAGCAAACCTTTGGTGAGAATAGACATAAAGGACAGTAAATTCTGGCTGAGCATCTCCTATAGCTCAGCAACTGAAAGGCGAAAGAGATCAGAATGAGCTGGTGAAATCAAATTTAAGGATGGATACCTTAGGAAAGCCCAAATAACTCCCCCCAAAAAAGCATACTGTGTTTGTAGGAGGATGGATTGAGGAAGCTCTGAGACCAGCAGGCCCAATCAGGCACAGAGGCCTGGCAGTGCTGACCCAGGAGTGGAGATTTTCCTGGAGGGTACTAGGGAACTCTGAAGGTTTTCACTGGGGTGTGCCGAAACTGAAAACAGTTTTTTAGGAAAACTAACCTAGAACTATAAAAAGTGCAGTACCAAGGATGAACTCGGAGGCAAGGAGGTCAGGTGGGAAATTGTGGAAGAGTTCTAGGTCTGGGATGGTAAAATCTTGAGCTACTGGGGTGGTGACTTTGCAAAGGTAGAAATATTAATAACATTCCAACAACCATTTATAGGTCATCTAGTCTCCATAAAACTCAATTTTTTAAAAAAAAAATCTACATTTCACACATAAAGGAACTGAAGCTTTGGGAGGTCAGTTACCTTTCCCGAAGTCATGCAGCTAAGTTTTGGTGGAGCTGGGATTTGAATGAGTCTAGGTTAGTCTGGCCTCATTTCATGTGTGTTTATAGGAGTGAGAGACAGAAGAATATGAGTCTGATGTATTACCAAGATGACAGGTGGGGTATACTCTTGGTATTGAAGGGGGAAGTTAGGCTGGGGGCAAAGTATGAATTTTGGTTGAGGCTAAAGTGATGGTACATTGAGGATGTAGCTCGTAGCTCAGTGGCAGAGCACTTGTGCAAGATACTGGATCACTACTCCCACAAAGTGATGGTGAACAGTTTGAATGAAGAGCATAATGGACACTGGCAATGCTGGACTAGCACTTGGCAAGTAGGACAATATGAAGCTATCAGACTGTTACTCCTATTTTTGTAAACAAGATCAAAATACCTAAATCTAAGCTCTGAGAGCCACAGGAAAAAAAATCCAGAAAGGTCAATTGGAAGTGCTGAGTGAAGGCTTAGAAAATATATTACAGGAGAACCACGCCTGCTCCCGACCCAGCCGCCATCGCTCAAGC